GTGTGTGTGTGTGTGTGTGTGTGTGTGTGTGTGTGTGTGTGAGAGACGTCTGATGTCTGACGGTGTGTTTTCTGTCTGTAGGACTGATGGGTTCAGAGCTGACCGTGGTCTCCAGTGTGGGTGAGTTCCTCCGGTCACTGTCACTATTTCCATATTCAGAAGAGAAGAAAAAGAACTTTATTATTATCACGAAGGAAATTTACTTTACAGACAAGTCAACAATTGTGTGTGTGTGTGTGTGAGAGACGTCTGATGTCTGACGGTGTGTTTTCTGTCTGTAGGACTGATGGGTTCAGAGCTGACCGTGGTCTCCAGTGTGGGTGAGTTCCTCCGGTCACTGTCACTATTTCCATATTCAGAAGAGAAGAAAAAGAACTTTATTATTATCACGAAGGAAATTTACTTTACAGACAAGTCAACAATCGGACAGCAACAATCAATAGTCATTCATTAAAGGACATAAAATCAATATCAAATATATTTTTATAAATAGAAATATTACAAATAAATATAGAAAACGGCAGCTGTGAAAGTTTCTGTGTCACATCCCTGTAAAATTCATCTGTTCAGTGGCTGCAGGAGCCACAGAACAGATTCAATAAACCACTCACCAAGTAAAGTAGTTGATTAATTGATTACTCTATTGACAGAATATGACAAATTACTGATTAACCTGAAGCTATTTCAATGATCAGTGAATCGAGTCACTTTCAAGTAAAATGTCAAACATTCTTTAGATTTCTTTAAATTCTGATGAACATTTTATACATCAAACGATTAATCGAAGAATTGATAATGAATAATCATTAGTTGCAGCTTTGATATAAACTCTATACATCTTTATTTAACCATGAAAAGGCCTCAGTTGTTTTAAAAGTCTGTTATACAGGAAGTCCTGATGGAGATAGCAGCACCACAGTGATCATTAATCATGATCGAGTTAACAAACTCATTTGTTCAGTAATTGATCAATGACACTTTTTCAGAATCTTTTCATTAATTAAATCATTTTTTATTTAACAAAAAAGTCTCCTGTTCCAGTTTCTTAAATGTCAGGATTTATAACCGTTGTTGGATCGTTGGTCGTCACCCTGGACTGTATTATTATAATTATAATTCTTTATAGATCAAACGATTAATTGTGAAACTAATCAGCAGAGCGATCAATAAAATATTAATGACAGAGAAATAATTTGATAAAATATGAAGAAAATAATAAAAATCACAAAAAAGTAAGAACAAAACTGACAAAGTAACAGCAATAAATATACCACAATAAATAATGTGAAACATTTAATTAATAAAACTAAAAACATGAAATGGAGAAATAAAACAGATAAAATTAGATATTAGTGCATAATAATAAAAGCTGTGTTTCCACTCGTGTCCCTCCCCAGGAAACGGCAGCTACAGCGGCCACTGCCCCTCCCCCGGCCTCCTGTCTCCTGGAGGAGTCTCCAAAAACCTGCAGGACAAGAGTCCTCCTCAGATGAGCATGAGCCGCAAGCCCGACCTCCGGACTCTGATGCCCCCCTCCAACAAGTGCAACAACATGCCGACTATAGTGAGTGTCTCTGCCGCTCCAGCTTTTATTTCATGTCACTTTGATTGTGTTGATTTCTCTTGTTATGAATCATGGAATAATTTGAGTTTGTGCTTTAATGCTGCTCTGCAGTGTGAGGACTTTGACTTTATGTTGGTAAGTAGAAGCTGTTAAATCCGGTGCTGTTCAGTGCTGAATGACCTTCACTATGTTACAGATTTTATGCATCTTATAATTCAACATTTTGCACCAACAGAAACAAAGACAAAGGTTTTGATAAATTACTTTCTTTTCTGGTTTGAGGAGCTGTTGTTGTTTCCCTCTGTCTCCTGCTGAACTCCCTCCCTGTGTTTAAATTTGAGTGACAAATCTTTTGTTATGGTACAAACAATAAGTAGTAGTGTGATTATAGATCAGCTCTAGCTTCTATATTAATACTGTGAAAGTATCAAAGCCTCAGTCCACAGAGAAATGCACACAGCCTGTATTCAGAAACTGAGCCTTAAAACCAGCCGTCAGGACTTCTGGAACTTTGTGATGTCACAACAAAGCAGTCACCAAGCCCCGCCCACCTGGACCCACCATCCAAACCTTTACAGGATTTGGTTTCTCTGAGTGTTTTTACCTGAAATCTGCTGTATTTTTATTGGATTTATTGGAGCCTCCTCTCTTCTGATTGGCTCACAGACCTGTTGTTACTAGAGCTCCAGAGAGAAGCCTGAGAGAGGAGATGTAAAACTACACTGAGATGGTTTCTGGATCTTATAGATGTTCCTTTTCTTTGTTTCTGCAGAACCAGAGAATAAATCACTCTCAGACCGCTCAGACGCTGTCGACTCCCTCCGTCTCCATCGCTGCTCCGACTCTACCTGGGCAGGGGATGGGCGGGTACCCGTCGACGCTCAGCTCTTCTTATGGCACAGGTGAGTCTCACAGACAGGAAGCCGCTGCAGACGGGGAGCCGCCTCGTACAGGATCTGGTTAACGAGGAGGATTTTCTCTGTGTGTTTCCCTCAGAGTTCTGCCTGGGGACCGACCTGTCCTCTCTGTCTGGATTCGGAAGCTCTGGTCTGGGATCAGTGACGAGCTGGCAGCACCAGCAGATCCAGAACCTGCAGCACCCAGCACTCGGACACATGGGGTGAGCGCCTGTGACAAACACTATAGAGTAGAAAAGAATTCAACACAGCAGAATGAAAACGTCTTATTGAACCTGCTCTTTATATAAAACACATATTTTAAGTAAATCAGCCAAACGTTTTCCCTCCTTTTTGTCCTCCTGATCACAGCTTCTCATATTTGTTTGTTTATTCAACATTACAAAGTGGTCTACACATTTTCCCCCTCCAGCTGAGCCATGAATCCACCAGCTGTAACTGAACTACAATGACTTTTCACATTCCTCCTTTTTCTTCATTTTCTTTAAATTTTATTGGTTTTCTCTCATTTTATAATCAAAATAATTAGTTTGTTTTAAACTAGCGCAGTCTCTAAATGTATGTCTTTATTTATTTCTTAATCGTGATCCCCGTTAGCTACACACAGTGGTTGTTGTTCTTCCTGGCGTCCAACACACAGAAAGAACAAATAAAACAAACAATTATTAAAATCAAACAAAAGAAAAAAACACTGAACAAATCAAATGCAGATAATAACTAAAATAACTTTAGATGTAAAATAATAAAGAACAGGAACTCAAGAAATTCAGGAGCCTTTATCTTGATAAACAGCTGGAAAAGTGAGTTCAGTTTAATGTCACTGTCGTCTCCTTTGAATAAAGTTTTCTGGACGAAGTCGCCCAGGACTTCAGTGTCAGATCTGTGAAGTGTGAGGATAAATCTTGCAGGTTAATCAATGATCAGGATTGATAAACCCTCAGTGTTGATCCGGGTTGAGACTCCTCCCTCTTTTCTTACAGGAACTTGTGTCAGAACTCGAACCTGAACCTCCCCTCCGCCCATCAGAACCTGCACATCAAGTCCGAGCCAGCCTCTCCCCCCAGAGACCGGGGCGTCGGCATGGTCGGTGCAGGAGTACTCGGAGGGGGCGTGACCACAGCCGGATACTCCGCCTCTGGCCGGGGTCCCAACGAGGCGGGCCGCTCCCCTGGCGACAGCGCGTCCAGCTGCGGGAGCTCGTACGAGGGCAGCGAGGACCGCGAGGATCACCACTGCAACGACAGCTTCCTCCTGCGACCCCTGTCCGGTCAGGAGGAGCGCCACAGCCCGTCAGTCAAACGCATGAGGCTATCGGAGGGGTGGGCGACATGATGGGGGGCGGGTCCACGAGCAGAGGGGAAGGGATGTTAGGAAAGTTACCTTATAGTGTTATTATTATTATTATTATCATCATATTCTTCTTGTACTGAGTGGGTGTGCTATATGTGTAATGGTAACATGTACGTGAGGGGGGGCCGTGTCGCTGATACAGTGACGCTCTGCTGTATTTACTACATGTACTGTAGCGAGACTCGTACACTAGGGGACGACTCCTGGAGACCGGGACCCGAGTCCAAACCTGGAAGAGATGAAAACTCAAAACTGAGTCAAAAAAATCTCAGTAAAAAGGAGAATTTAGGAGTTTTGATAATGAATGAATCTTCGTCTTATTAACGTTTGTTGATATCAGTCGTGTGTTGTTACGAACTGTGAGAAACAGGAAACGCTAACAGCGACACAGACGCAGTTATCTCTGAAACATCCAGAGGCAGAACAGAGCCGGAAAAAACACGTCTGCAGTGCAGTGAAGGAATAATAAGAGTTAGATAAGATCCATATCACCCTTAACTGAATATGAAGCTACAGCTAGAGGCCAGTTAGCTTAGCTTAGCTTAGCTTAGTTTAGCTTAGCTTATCTTAGCTTAGTTTAGCTTAGCTTAGCATAAAGTTTGGAAACGGGGGGAAACTGTTAGCTTGGTTCTGTCTGAAAGTAACAAAATCCCCCTAACGACAACCCTAACAAACACAAATTAACACAGTTATTTCTCGTCCATTTAATCTGACAAAAAGTAAAATATAAAAATAGGTTTTGTGTAAGTGAAAAAATTGTTTTTGGGATTATCAGAGTCTGGGAAATGTTGATTTTGATGCATTATTATTTAATGTGGAAGATAAGATTTAAAAAAAAACAAAACAAATCACATGTCCCTAAATAAAACTGGCACGACGAGAAACAAAGTCCAGCTGGAAATGATGTTTTATTTTGAAAGGATTAATACGTGATGTTTATCCTGCATCAGATAAACACCTGCACCAAACAGCAGGTGTGACGTTAACAGTCATCACCTCTCGCACGCTGCAGTAATTTGTAGCGTATATAATCCTGAACAGAATGCATGATGGGTAATATTCATCATCATTTGAAACTTCTTATATTTTTACTGAGATGTTTTTGACACATATGTTCTCAGGCCTGTTTCTCAGCGGTCTGATGGTCCAGGAGTCGTTCACATGAACATGTACTGAAGAGGCTGGAGGGGTCGTTGGTTGTTGTACATGTGATGTTTGTTTTGTGTGTGTTCTGGGGGGGGGTTAAGTTAAAAGCACATTCATGTATGTGCACATGTATGCAAACTAACATAAAGGTCAAAGTGAAGAAGTCTGGTACTCTGAACGCTGAAGCTACTGGTGAGTTTAGTAACGTGGATCATTGGAGCCATGAGCAGGCGTTTCACCGCCGCACATGCCCTGTTGCAGGTTCAACATATTTGCGCACATACAAACATAAAAGCACATTTAACATATTAATGTATGGAAGGTAAAGGATGGAAAATAAAAGAGAAAGGGAGCATGAGTACGTACAGTAAGAGAGAGAGAGAGAGAGAGAGGGAGGAATGTAGAGGTGAGGAGAGAAATGGTGACAGGAAGTTTTCATGTGAGTGAGTAGAAACTTATTTGCAACAGGTTGCATAGAAAACAAGCTTCGGACAAATTTCAGAGTTAGTGAAAAACTTTCAGAGCCATCGTAGAAAAAATGATTCAGTCCAGATACAAAAAAACGTGTGGAAGCAAAGATAATAATAATAATAACTGTGGAAATTAACCACTGCTGAATACTTGTATTTTTTATTTTAGAAATTAATGTCTTTGTACATTAAAAATACAGATATTATAAATTCCAAGATACATATACATAAATGCACAGACACAGTTATACCAACATATTCATGAACTAAATGAACAAACCTTTTAATCAGTTATTAATAATAAGGGATATAAAATTACGAAATAAAGAAAGTAGTGAGGATTGAAAAAAGGGAAATTATCAATAAATGAATGTTAAAGATGTTTTGTTTTTTTAAGTAATGATGGTCATTAATATTAATATCACATCATAGAGTGTATGTAAATTTTAAGAAATTTGTTGAATTTGAAGCATTGAAATGTTTAACTTTGAAAACCATCTGTATGATATTTCCAAAAGATGAACCAACTAATCATTTCAGCTTTAGTTTGTTTTAATGTCAGATGCTAAAATTCAAGATTAAATGTCCATGTTCATGTCACATGACCCAAAAAAAGCTGTAGTTTCTAAATTTACAAAACGTGAAACGACCTTCCGGAAGTTTCAAATTAAAATGTCATAAATTCACACAGACGGATTTTCAATTAGAATATTTAAATGTAATTGTATTTAATTTCACTATTAAATATTCTGTAGTGGTTATATTTCACAGTTTGCTTTAAGAATAATTTATATTTATGGCCTTTCTTTGCTTCCATACGACACGACCTGCAACAAACACAGCGTCTGTGGATTCATGTGTCAAAAGACTTGAGTGGTGAATTATGCACAGAGAGAGTTAGCATGTGCAGCTTATGTGCAGCTAACAGCTGTGGCAGGATTTAGCAGTCAGAGTGAGGATTGCACTTCTAAAAGCCATATCCACCGGGACAGTGATGCTTTGCTGCACAAACTTTATAGTGTTATGTTTTTAAAAAAGTTTTCCTTCCTTATTATATCAAATTGATATTTTTGGATGTCTGCAGCTCTATTTAATAACAGTGACATAAAGGCAGGAAGAAAAATATTTTCTAACAAACATTCAGGGAGATTTTAAATCATTTACCCCAAGTAAAAAATGTAAAGTCTGCTGATCAGCTGGTGTCAGACCCAACATCATCTCGCAGAGCACAAAGGACAATCAGCTGGTTTCCACGTCCTGCAATTACTGTGTGCTGATTATCAAATATTATATTAAAATATAATAATATAATATATATGGTGGAAGAAATACTCAGATCATTTACTAAGTAAAACTGCCAGTACAACAATTTTAATGAGCCAGTTTTTAGACTTTTATATATAATTTTTTTTTTTCTTTGGGCCTCAAACAGTAATTTAAATAAAACCAACAGCTCAACAACTAGACACTGTTTTTGTCTGGACTCCAACAGCGGGGCCAACCCTTTAATCTGGAATGTCCCTGACTGACTGACTGACTGACTGATCGTATTTCCACCATTGATCAGCCGAGTGCCACGGCTTTAGTTTACGTGTTTGGTGATGTGGTCGGACGACGTCGCGTTATAAAATCAGGATTTGACCACAGGCGGTCCAGACATGTACAAGGTTCTGACCTCATCTTGTTGTAAGAGATCACAAGGAAAAGAAGGTTGTTGGGAATCACTGTTATACCTGTATTTTATGTGTATTATGTTTTTTGAATGTAAAATCTTAACCTGAAAAAATAACAAGTTACTACAGCTGTAAGAAAAATGTTGTGCAGTAAAAAGCAGAATATTTCCCAAACGTATAAAAGTAGTATAAAATGGAAATATTCAAGTAAAGTACAAGTACCTTTAAATTCAAGACTGAGTTACTTTCCACTGCTTCATATTCGTGCTGCGTTTGTGGACACTTAGAATAATTTGTGCCTTGAACCTGAACCGGGTCTGACACCAGCTTCAATCAGAGGCTGAACACAGTAGTTTAGAGTCTGCTGAGTGATATCCACACTTTGTTTTATTGTTTTTAAAGAGACAGAAGTGGCTAAGGGTTGTTCACATTTGAATATTTTGGTTGAAGAACTGTATATTTGGAGCTCAAACCCTCGGCCACAGGTCTGCACTGTACGTGCCCCTAAATTCACAAGTTCAAACCCCTGTAGCTGCTGTAGTTTGAAAGGCACTGCTAAATGATGTCTGTTAAAACAAAAACAAAAAAAAGGGCAGAGCCCAGATATGTTTTCTCCTGCACTCCTTTTCTTTTATGATGACTGTAGTCTCCGGGTTGGTCGCCTCCGGCTCAGATTTACCGCACCACACCCGGCTCAGTGCTAGCACAGCCGACAGGAGGGCCAGGAGCTCGTCCTCAGGCTCCAGGTGGGTCAGCGGGTGGAGGTGGAGAGCTCACACAAAGAAAACGTGGAGTGTAAACTAACCAAAGTGTGAAGAACCTTGTATATCTGTGTTTTTGGTTTGATTCTTTAAGCGGTAACTGCCTGGACTTTTGCCAAATCTGTCGCCCACTGAAGAAAAAAAAAAAAAAAAAAAAAAACCCTGATGAAAAGATTTCATGTTGTTTTTATTTGGCGACATCAGTGAATGTCCTCTGCACTGTAAATGTCCACTCTCCTCTTTACATGCACGAGAGCTTCAGTAGCTGCAAGTCAGATACAATAAGAGATTGTTAGCGGCATAAGCTGGCCTTTGTCGCCACTTGGAGACAATGATTCTCAGAAGAAGAATTAAGTGCACCTCTGTTGTCGCAGATCATGTACAGAGATTCCCTCACTCAGAAATGTGGTAGTATTTGTATTTTGCAGAAGAAAAAAAAAAAACTTTAAATATACAGGCTCTGTTACAAACGTCTGTGTGGTCTGTCATCATTGCTTCTTCAGTTTCCTGTGGTTGTTTTAAAGGCTGTTTTGGTTTTTATATCATGGAAGAGATTTTTAGCAAAAATACAAACAACTTCTGCAGGAAACAGAAACAGACAAGGACTTAAAACATGTTATTTTACTGAATGAAAATGGCTTGTTACTGTACTTTGATTTATATAAGCAAAAAAAATGCACCATCACATTAGAATCAACTGAAAGTAATTTGTAAATAACATGATTTCAGTACGTTTCTGTGTACTGACGTTGTACTGAAGTTGTTCTTTAGAAGTTCGTAGAGGAAAAGAAATCTGTTTGTCGTTTAAGTTGTAAATTATAAAAAAAAAAAAAAGAAAAGAATGCATGGCTGCTTATATTTAATTAATTTAGCATTTAGAGAAGAACTACTGTCTGTTCTATATTCGTCTGTAAACTGCAGCATCTATTATGAGATGTGTTGCAGCGCCAGACTCACCGCCAGAGGGCGCCACAGACTTAACTCTCACCACGTTCCTCTTACTCAGCTCCTGCTGTTGTAGTGAGTGACGAGCAGAACATCAGCTGATCTGTAAAACTTTACATGGCAGCACCTGCTAATGTTCGTATTCATTATAGATAAATCTGCCAATAATCAATTTATTCATCAATCATTTGGTTTATTACATGTCAGAAAACTGTGAAACATTACAGTTTCTTTAACCAACAATTCACAACATTAGACTGAAGTCAGAGAAAAGCAGCGAACGCTCACAGTGGAGAAGCTGGAACTGACTTTACACTTGACCGTCCACGTCTCCGTCTGACCACAGTGACTCACAGTCTTCTGTCACCTCCGTCCTCCTGCACCACAGGCCTGTGGTCGCTCTCTGATGTCTGTCCAGTCGACTCTGCTTCACCTCTGTGGTGGAAGTGTGTTTGAGAAACGACAGATAAGAGGCGAATGCAATACAGATATTTGTGCTCATACAAAGAGACGTGCTCATATCACTGCTGAGAACTGCACACGCTGTTTGGAAAATCACAGTTTTCATCTGATAATCGTGCAGCAGCAGCAGCTCAGAGAAACTGGAGTATTTCAGTTTTTAAGATTTTTTATTTAGAAAAATTACTTAATTTACCCAGAATTCATTGTAACACAGTCTGGCTTTGGATAGTCAAGAACTAAACTGCTTTGTGCACTGGATGAATTCAGACGTTTATCTGAAGTCTGACTATTAGATCTTTAAAGTCTATCTTTGTGAATCTGTCTCAACATCTGCTGAACTGACTGACACAAACGTTTCCCCTCAGGATGAATAAGAATGGACGTTTCATGCGGCACACAGATAAATACTTTCGAAACAGATGACATTCTGCCTCAGCTGTCCTCTGAGTGTAGGCTTGATTAGCTAATGTAAGCATTGTGCTAAACTGAGATGGTGAACATGGGAAACACACTTCTCCATCCCTATAGTCGGAAAAGCAATTGGAAAAATAGTGTTAATGTTTAAGGCAAAACTTTCCTTCAAACATAAGAATCATAATAACATTTCACAAGTTTAAATACAGCGTGTCTTCATCTCGTTCATGTTCCTGATTATTTTATTTGTGTACATTACACGAAACACAGTAGTATGTTAGTTTTATGCTAGTTAGCATGCATTTGCTCACGGCCTCTCTATGACCGTCTAGTGGTTGTGTTCACCATTGTAGTTTTTTTTAATGTTTGTTTATTTATTGTGTTAGTAACTGTTGTGTGTTTGTTGTTTTGTTTTGTTGTGTTTTCCTGTTTGTTTGTAATATTTGTTCGGACCCCCTCGAAAACGAGATGGTTCATCTCTAGGGGTTTTATCCTAAAGAATAAACTTGTTATACTCACCTGTATTATTAGCATTTAGCTCAAGTTTTGCTAAAGTACAAACTCAGATCAGACAGATTCTGTATTTAAATAATTTCATATTATCCTTCAAATTTAACGGGAAACTGTATTTTGAATCCTGCTGCTTGTCTTGACTTCAGTCCCTGTTGTGGCTGTGGTTTGTTATGCTCATCACTGTGAGGACGAATTGTTTTCTTACAGAGGTTTTCAAGTACAAACCGCTCATAAATTCTGTCTGGCAGCTTCCACGTGAACGCAGACAGCTCGTGTTTATTTTTGGCAGTCTGGGTAATGCCCATAGATTGTTGGCTGGCTGTCGGCAGATGAACAGGATGCCGGGATAAAGGGCGAAGGTTTCAGACAGTTTTCACATTTGAAGCAGTTTGTGATTAGAGGGAATGAATTAAAACTTCTGTTCACAATAACATCCAGACCCAGACATGTACATGCATGTTTCCTTTTTATTTGTGCACCTTCTTCATTTACTTGGAATAAAGATTTTTTTTGGTTCAGAAACAGCCGATCCACACGCCGCCAGTGCAGCCACCAAAACCTGAGCTGTGTTTAGAAGTCGTCAAGGACACCCTGTGAATTGGCCGTCGGCCCAAATGCCTGAGATGTACCTTGCATTTGTGTGTGTTTGTGGTGTGTGTGTGCATGACTGCTTGGATGAATGTGCATGTGTATGTGCATGTTAACCAGCGAACTTTTGAACTATTCCCAGGCAAATACAACTTTAGTAAATATGACCTACATGTGTTGTTGTGTCTTTTATTCCAACACCTTCCCAAGGATCAAGTGTCTCACAGAGCAACAATTTAGAAATTCTAGACAAAAACAACGACACGTTTAACATCAGCGGTAAAAACAAAAGAAGCTTTATCTTCCATGGCAACACGAGCAGCTCCTTTTAAAAACGTGATGCTGATCTGTCTTCGTCTGTCCGTCCGTCTGCACTCTGTCTGAGCCTGTGTCTCGTCATCCAGTTCAAACCAGTTTCTGTTTATCAGCCGAACAGAAGCAGCCTGTACAGTAGGAGCCAAAATATTATTCATGTGACCTCTCATCATTGTGTGTGTTTTGTTCTTTGAGTGTGTGTGTGTCTTGGTATGTGTGAGCGTTGTGTAATTATGAGTCAAGGTAAAACTCTGGAGCTGAAAGAGGCACAAAGCCCTCGTAAACACATTTTCATGTTAAAGAAGAATTGCAGAGCTGCCAATTCTGAATGTGCAGTGGATCAAAACTGGAATTGGCTTTCCTATGAAAGTAGTCATACTCTCATACTGTGAAATGATGACAATGGATTTCAACCTGGGATATCCACTTCCTTGTAAGTGCATGAATATTTTTAAAGGCATAAAAAATGTGAAAAAATGTCATAGTATAGTAAGGACTAAAAACAATGGATAATGCCGACATAAACGACATAGTATACTAAGGCATAAAAAGTCATAAAAACGTCATAGTATAGTAAGGCATAAAAAGTCATATTACAATAAGGCATAAAAATTACATAGTATAGTGAGGCATAAAAAGTCATAAAAGCGACAGTACAAGGCATAAAAAGTCATAAAAACGTCATAGTATAGTAAGGCATAAAAAGTCATGTTACAATATGCATAAAAACAACATAGTATAGTAAGACATAAAACGTCATAAAAACGTCATAGTATAGGAAGGCATAGAAAGTCAGAAACGACATAGTATAGTAAGGCATAAAAACAACATAGTATAGTAAGGCATAAAAAGTCATAGAAACGTCATAGTATAGTAAGTCACAAAAATGTCATAGTATAGTAAGGCATAAAAAGTCATACAAATGACATAGTATAGGAAGGCATAAAAACAACATAGTATAGTTAGGCATAAAACGTCATAAAAACGTGATAGTATAGTAAGGCATAAAAACTCATACAAACATCATAGTAAAATAAGGCATAAAATGTCAAAAAACGACATAGTATAGTAAATCATAAAAACGTCATAGTATGGTAAGACATAAAAAGTCGTAAAAATGACATGGTATAGTAAGGCATAAAAACAACATAGTATAGTAAGGAAAAAGCTGTCAAAAAAACGACATAGTATAGTAAGGCAAAAAATTTAAAAAAAAAAGTCATAGTATAGTAAGGCATACAAAGTCTTAAAAACGTCATAGTATAGTAAGGCAAAAGATGTAAAAAAAACGACATAGTATAGTAAGGCAAAAAATGTCAAAAAAACATCATAGTAAAACAAGGCATAAAATGTCAAAAAACAACATGGTATAGTAAGTCATAAAAAGTCATAAAAACGTCATAGTATAGTAAGGCATAAAAAGTCATCAAAATGACATAGTATAGTAAAGCATAAAATGTCAAAAAAACATCAGAGTAAAATAAGGCCTAAAATGTCAAAAAACGACATTGTATAGTAAGTCATAAAAACGTCATAGTATAGTAAGGCATAAAAAGTCATGTTACAGTAAGGCATAAAAAGTCATCAAAACGACATAGTATAGTAAGGCATAAAAAGTCATCAAAACGACATAGTATAGTAAGGCATAAAAAGTCATCAAAACGACATAGTATAGTAAGGCATAAAAAGTCATCAAAACGACATAGTATAGTAAGGCATAAAATGTCAAAAAAACATCATAGTAAAATAAGGCCTAAAATGTCAAAAAACGACATAGTATAGTAAGCCATAAAATCTCAAAAAACGACATTGTATAGTAAGTCATAAAAATGTCATAGTATACTAAGGAAAAAAATTTAAAAAAACGACATAGTATAGTAATGCAAAAAATGTCAAAAAAACGACATAGTATAGTAAGGCATAAAAA